TCTGGTCCCAGTCAATCATGTTAATAAACGATGTTGCAGCCAGATTTAATGTTATATCCTTCTTATCAAAGACGCTTTGTATGTTATTTGTAAACTTCCGGTATGTTACTATTACTCTGCTTTTCTCTTTTTATTTGCTCTTATCTTTTTATCTGTTCTACTGAAAAACGACGAATTTCCATATCACTATCACTAACTGCAGCTAACAGAATGTTTTCAGCATGCGCAAAGTAGCAGTTATTTTTGAAAACAGGACGAACCACAGCCTGATCTAATGCATCAAGTTCCTGAAACAACTGAACTAAGTAAAAGAAGTTGCTAGCACCATTTTGGCAAGAAGAATTTGATTTGATTTTGAACCAAGTGGGTCTGTAAAAGTTCAAAATGAAATGCGTTACTCTTCTGAGAGGTTTAGATGCCACCTCTCTAGTCATGTAGAGACGCAAAATCCTGTTGGCTTTCGCCAACCACCGAGCATGACTTATATTTCCAGGTAAACTCTTCTCTAGGAAATCAATATCTGTAGAAGCCTGACGTCCATGCTGTACTGCTAGACATGCTTTCAAAAAGTAAAGTTGGTCTGTGCTAAGATCCTTCTTGACAGCTTCATCACAATCAGTCACCTTACCTGTAATTGGCAAATAATTAACGACAGGCAATTCGGATTCATTCATTCATTCAATGACTCATTCATTCAACGATTCATTCATTCATTCAACGACAGGCAATTCGGATTCATTCAGCTTCATCACAATCAGTCACCTTACCAGTAATTGGCAAATAATTAACGACAGGCAATTCGGATTCATCATTCGGATCATATTCTAGAGCTGAGCTAATTGTACCTGTCAATGTGGAAGGTCCTGTAGTTCGTCAAAATCCACGCCTGCCAAAAACCTTCTAAATGGCAGCTCGTTACAGTGTAGAAGGCATACCAACCACTGTAATGGTCTACCTAAGTTCTCCTCCAATTTTCTTATGATTCCATTGCTTTTACCTGTATTATTATTTGTGCCATTACACAGAACACCTTGAATGCTTTCTCTATAATAACTGACATTAACTCCTTTGTTATATCAGCAGTTTTACTACTTTCAGGAACAACATGATCGATGTATATATTTCCTGGATAGGAAACAATACTATAGTGTTCTTCTTTTTTACTTCTTCTACAACCAAAACTCTCAACTAATATAACGCCTTGTTTTCCATCAAAGCCTATACAGCACAATTCCTCATTGCTCTGCATATGTTCTTCAACCAGAGTATCTCTCCAGAAATTTCTTTGTCTACGTAGTTTTGAAGGATCAAGAATTGTTGCTGAAGACAACATACTGAGGTCTTTTAAAACAGCATTAACAATAATACATGTATCTCTGTTGCTAATTTTGTATTGATCAACTGCTTTACATAATTCCTTGTACTTGTTTCTGTTCTGCACTGATACTGTCTCTTCCTCTGATGTATAATTACTTTCAGATGTGTTACGCTCATCCTCATCAATATCTTTCACAGTTTCATATTCAACCTCTTTTGACTGTGCTTCATCACACACTGATTTCATAAATTTGCGTTTTTTTCTCTTTTCCAGTGTTGCTGTCGGTTTTTTGTCTACTCCACCAATTATCATATTTCTAACAGTTTTCTGGTCAACCTAGAAATCCCACTCTATCAATGGAATTTTATTTGGCAGTGGGCACGTGCATAAGTTCCTATATCTAATGCCCAAATCAAAGCATTTGCAGGTTGAAATGTCAAATAACTGCTCAAATAACTTCTCAGTGAACGTGTCTGATGTTCTTTTTGCATCGGAATATTTTTCAAGTGTATGTACTTTGTCCATAAGTCTTCTAATCCTAATGATTGTGCTATTCACTTCTATTGTGGGAATACTTGCTTTTGAATAAACACATTTCACTCTGTCTGCTAAAATTGAATATCTTTCTTGCAAGCTAATTTCTAATACTGTTTATAATATTTCTAAATCTGATTATAATAGAACGCCTTAATAACATCTTCATATGATGGGATATATATATATATATATATATATATATATATATATATATATATATATATATATATATATATATATATATATATATAAATTATATCCTAATCAGTGCTCAGTTTTTTCACATTTACTCTTATGTGCTTCTGATCACAGTTTGATCTATTATCTCATTCTTTTTTATCATCAAAACTATTCATTCTTCTTTATCATCAGAATCCCCTTCCACTGTACCTCTTATAGCTAACTTAAAGCTGACTGGGACTTTTTCCGTGATTTTCTTTATGATAGCCCTGAGTATAAATAATTCATTTTCCTGCTGACAAATGTGCTATCTGCAACTTTTTGGACTCAGACTGACATGGAATCCTTTATTCCCTCTTGACAATTCCAATTATATATTATAATCTTATAATGTGTCTAATATAGACACATTATAAGACACATTATAATAAGGGCAAATTTCTCTTTTTTTGCATGGTTCATATTTTACTACTTCACCTAAAAACTAATATTGAATTGATTGCAAAGAACTTTTCATCAATCTCATCTTTTTATTCCACTAATCAAATCTTACCTGATATAACCAACTCTAGCTTCTGCATCTAAAGTGATTTCCTTAAATTCTATAGCTTGTGGTTCTGACAACATACCTGTTATAGTCTTGCAGAAGTGTTCTTCAAAGCTGTCTTCTATACTTTCAAAACTATTTAACAAGTATTTATCAGAGTCTTGTTTTCCAGCCTGCTGAAAAGTGGCATCTGTTATTTTTAAAAATTCTGGTCAATCTGAATCATCTCACTACAGTGAGAATGTATCATTAGTCTTTGTCCTATCATAAGCAAAGTTTTTGAGTCTTTAATTGATAAACACTGTATCTCTCATCTTGAATCTAATAACTTACTTACGGATTTTGATGTTCTCGCTCTACTGCTTATTTGTTAATGGTAATAACTGATAGGTTTTATCATGCATTAGATAAATGTGAAAAGGTTAAGGTTATTGCTCTTGACATTTCTAAAGCCTTCGATAAAATTGATTTACATTAGCGATCTCCCAGAAATTCTACCATCTAAGGTGGCATTGTTCCCTGTTGATACTACCATTTATTCTTGTCTTGATACGAAGCTAACACTATCTGATTGCTTGGAGGGGGCTTTTAAACTTGAAATGAATCTCACTTCTGCTACACCATGAGGCTCTGAGTAGCTGGTGAACTCTAACTCAGATAAAACTCAATTTTTCTCTGCTTATCATTATTGCTACAATCTAGATCTTCCTATATTTATGAGCGATATTAAACTTAATTGTTATCTTGCTTTATAAACTTTATCTTTTTTCTTCCAATAACTTCCAACTTTAATGTGGTTGCTTGCAGCTTTGTTGGAAGTAAAGATGTTTAAATATATATATATATATATATATATAATATATATATATATATATATATATATATATATATATATATATATATATATATATATTTATATTTATATATATATATATATATATATATATATATATATATATATATATATATATAATATATATATATATATATATTTGATGTTTAAAAAAATATATATATATATTATATATATTTTTATATAATATATATATATATATATATATATATATATATTTTATATAAATATATATATATATATATATATATATATATATATATATATATATATATATATATATATATATATATATATATTTATATCTGGGGTTATTCTAGGAAAAAAAAATGGGCATTGGTACCCCTATTCCAGAAAAATTTAGCAGAAATGTTAATAAATATTGGCGTTTTTTTGCAAAAAAAAAAAACAACAAAAAAAACATTTGCCGTAAAAATTGTTTGGACAGCGCTAAAATCGACACTTAAATACAGCCACATTCAAAAACTGTATATATATATATATATATATATATATATATATATATATATATATATATATATATATATATATCCTTATAGTGTAGTCGAAAGAGACTTTTATGTTAAAAAAAGTCTCTTTTGACTACAATTTTTTACCTCGTCTTTTAAGCTGCATTTTATTGTCGTCAAAATGTCAATGCAATTAAATTAATGCGGAAGTACATTAAATTTTTTTTTTTTTTAAAACCGCAATAATAATAACTAGAAAGTTTTTTTTAATTAATGGTGTTTTTATTCTTGTTTTGTTAAAATATATTTTAAAACATTCGCAGAGTGTTGCTACATCGACTATCTTATAACCTGCTGCTACAAGGGAGTGTTGCTACATCAACTATCTTATAGCCTGACTCACAACAGAGTGCTGTTACATCGTCTGACAAATAGCCTGACTCGCAAGGGAGTGCTGCTACATCAACTTAGGGTTTGGTTTGGATAGGCAGTTTATCATTTAAGAAAAAAAAAATTATTTATGTTTTTAAACTTTTTCTAGTCTGGTTTATTAACATGCTCTTTAAAACTACAGTTTATGGGAAAAACTACCATGTAAGTGTGTGTGTGTGTGTGTGTGTGTGTGTGTGTGTGTGTGTGTGTGTGTGTGAGTGTGTGTGTATATATATATATATACTTAGTAACTCGGTAAAACTTTGCAAAAAAATCTTTTAAAACTTCAGTTTTACAATAAAATAAAAAATAAATAAAAGGAAGCATATACCTTTATAAAAAAAAACTAAAAAATGCTGTAACTTTAGACACTATTTCAGACTTGCTGTGCTAATAGTGTCTAAAGTGCTGTTTTAATAGTAGTCATTGATGTCTTTTCTCATTAATTAATTTTTAGTTTTCTCATTAATTAATACTTAGACTATGAATAATTATTTAAAAAAGAAAATATGGAAATACAGACATGCACTAAATTTGTAACTCTCTAGATAAATTATAATAATCACTATATAATAAATTTTACTAATCACTATCTTTAATTTAAAAATCTTTTAGCTAATCATCAAAAAAATATACATACTAATAATATTGATGTATTTTTACCTGGTTCATTTTTTCCAAATCATCAAGATTTGATGACAATCGTTGAATTTCATTGTCCTAAAAAAAAATTTAATACTTTAATTTTAAAACTTTAATTCAGAAATGAAGTTTAGTGAAAAAAAACCCCTCAGTCTATGTACTGAATTTAGCTGTGCATTTGGTTACATGAAGTAGTAGACTATTGGTGGCTCACAAGTATGAAGTTTAAGATGTGTCGCTTCCGTGACTGTAGTGATCCTACAAGAGCCTTAGGGTGGTGGACTTCATAATGAAAAAATATATCATATCTAGGGGTTTAGGTTAGGACAGGCAGTCTTTTAATATAAAGAAAAGTCTTTTTTTTATGTTTATAAACTTTTCCTGTCTTGCTTTCAATTTATTTTAGTTTAGGATTTAAGCGAGCAAGACAAACCAAGCAATACAAACCAAACAAAAACTCAATGATTGCTTACGTTACAACAAAAAAATTTTTTGTTGTTACGTAATATATATAGAATGACATAGGTCCTATGTCATTCTATATATATTCTACATATCAAAGTTTTTATAATAATGTAAGCATTTTACAGAATAAATGATTGCTTTTTAAAACAAAGTTTTATAACAACATTGTGCTAACAATTCATACAAATTTTAATATTTGACATAATTTAATAAATATAGATAATTATAACCATTATTAAACAAAAGAAAATTTTTTGTTTTTGTAAACAAATATTATAAATATTTCTTTGTTTTTTGTTCATCAACAAATTTAATAAAAATAAAATAGTGAGAATTTTTCCTTTTGCATTTACAAAAGAATTTTTTATTTACAAACAGATGATATTTATTTACAAAACAGATATTTTATTTAACAGATAATATTTTATGTTTACATTTCTTGTTTTAATTAAATTCACCTACATAAAGCTATAGTGGAGCCAATACAGTTTTTTGATTTGTAACTCTCTCTTTACCTTTGTTAAATCTTTTTAAACATGGCAACTGAGCAGAGGAACAGGTTGAGAGCAGTACTTCCAGTAACATAGAGTGGATTTAAACTTCAAACCTATTGACTGCAAGCCAAAATTTCTTCCACTAATCTATTACCATATTTACAATCAGATGATGTTTTATTTACTAACAAATGATATTTTATTTAGAAGCACATAAAAAAAGACATTTTATTTACAACTACACAAAAATATTTTATTTAAAATTGAATAATGTAAGAAGATAAATAAAGATTTATTAGAACAAGTTTAAAAATTACATGTTCTAAAGGACATACAGGTCCAATAAATGGACACTGACATATATGCCCTTAAATAAGTGTAAAAACAATGTACATATGGAACAAACATAGTTTATAATACAAACATTCAAGATTTCATTCATTCATTTACTTTATAGAAGCAGTGTTTATCAAAATTGCATGATTTTATTTTATTTTTAAACATACAAATGTTATCTGCGTTTACAGCTTCTGATGTCAGATTATTGCAGATGTTTACAACTCATCGAGTAAAACAATATTTGCATAAATCATCAAGTTGACATCGTTGCTTGTGAATCTTTTAAGTATGACCACGTAATTTTAAAAAACTAAATTTTATCTATGCAAACCAAATTATGCATAACTTCGAAACATATAACTAAATCATGTTTTAAACATCTGAGTTACAGAGAATCCAACCCAGCTGTAAACCGCTAGAATAGCTTAAACAACTAAGATTAGCAATTTTTTTTGTGAATTGTTTCTGAATATTTTCAATAGATTTTATTAACATAGTTTGGTGCGGCGACCAAACTGGAAAGCAATATTCAATAATTGTTCTTATATAAGTGGTAAATGCACATACTAATATACTAGGATTGTGAGTTTAAAAGCATTTTAAGATAAGGCATGCTCTAGTATTTGCTACATGAACGACTCTAGCAATGTTTTTTTTTTGTAGTTTGGCGGGATTCCATAGTTACTCCAAAATCGTTTGGGTTAGATGACCAATCTAAAATTGAATCACCTAACTTGTAATTAAAACTAATACTATGCATTGAAGTAAATGCTAATCTGTGTGCAAAACATTTCTTGCTGGCAATCGGCAACTGCCATGTATCAGACCAAACAATTATTCTATCAAGAGCAACAGTTAAATCGCTGCTATACTTTATATCACGATACAAACTGTATAACTTTAAATCATCAGCAAAAAGTTTTATTGTACATTTAAAATAAATAATAAGAACAAAGTAGGTCTAAGCACACAACCTGAGGTGGTACACCACTAATGATTCAAATGGGATCTGATAAAGAAATACCAATCTTTACCTGTTGAGATCTGTCTGTGTGAAATGCAGAAATCCACTTTAAAAAGGTACCACGATAATGCATAATAAAAGTTGTTTTGAATGAGATACAGAATCAAATGCCTTTTGGAAGACAATATATACAACATCTGTTATCAGACGATTGACAAGTGCAATACTCCAATCGTTGGTAGATTCTAAAAATTTGTACACATAAAACGTTTATTGAGGAAACCATGCTGACTAGGAGATATTATGATAGGAGATATTTAGATACTCAACAATATGCAAGCAGATAATTTTTTCCCTGATTCAACAACAAGTACAAGAGATGGGCCGATAGTTGTTAGAATTCGATGTAGATCTGTTTTTAAAAATTGGGGAGACAAAAGCTTGGTGCCATTAATTAGGTAAAGCGTTTGATGTAAAACTAGTCTCAAAAATAAATAAAGGAAGAAAATATAAAACACTTTAACCAACTTTTTAAGAATTGCATTAGGTAAACCATCAGGACCGTGCAAAGTACTAGGATTAATTCCCATCAAGGCTTTACACACTAACTACATGGAAAAATAAACCGTGTCAATAGTTATTGGATCATTAACATAACTGACAATGTAAGGAGAATAGTTATTATCATTTGTAAAAACACTTCCAAAGTGATAATTAAACACGTTAGCAATTTCTATATTACTGGAAGTGACCTTGTTATTGTTATTTTTGTCTATTGGATAGTAGTACTTATCAGTGATATTAATTTTATTACTAACATGATTATAAAATTTGCTAATGTTATTTTCCTCTATTAGGTTTAATTCAATTTTCAATTGGTAATTAGATAAGATTTGTTTGCAATTCCTGGCGCATTGCTTGTAAGCTGATTTGTTATAAATGGTTTTATTATTCGTCCATCTTTTCCATAAAAATACTTTGCAGCTTAAGATTTTTTACATGTATTTTATTTACTTGGTTACTTGGTTACATGTATTTGATTTACTTGGTTACTTGGTTACATGTATTTGATTTACTTGGTTACTTGGTTACATGTATTTGATTTACTTGGTTAGTGATTACTCATTTTGTTTTAATATTTTTTCCTGATAAGTACAATTTTACCTGATAAGTACAAATTCATTAATACCAGTACCAAAAAGACTTAGAAAAATGCTCCAGTAGTCCTTAAAACTCAAAATCTGAATTATATAACTAATATATATAATATATATATAACTATATATATATTATATATATATATATATCCGAATTATATAACGAATATATATAACTAAAGACTTTTGATGTCAGCATTAGGAAAGTCGTAGAAAGATTCTGGTTTATTTTCACACTGGTTGAAATTGTTTGTATTTATAGAAAATTGTACTATGTTGTGGTTGCTAGTGCTAAAAGGACACTTGACAGATATTTATAAGTGAAATGTTATTAGAAAATAAAAAATCTAGAAGATTCATTTTACATGTGGGTTCTTAAACAAATTTGTGTATTTACCAAATTTAAAAATATACTATGACACTTTTCATAAGATGAAATATAGAGTGGTCATTTCATTTTAGGTAAGCTGAAGTCAACAACAATAATAATCTGAGACGCTGAGTAGCATAAGTTCATTTAAGAAGGAAGAAGTTCATTTCTGTATTAAAAAAGAGTTTTTCTAAAAGTTAACAATATCTTTTCCTAATTATCTTTTACTTTTTAGCATTAAACTAGGTGCATCCAAAGATAGTGAGACCATTTCATTAGAAGTTCAAAAGGCATGTTAGAACTTGACATAAAAACTGTACTTGATGAACTAACAATCAATAGAAATAGAACAAGAAAAACTAAAATGTTCTTGAAAATGTAGATAAAAAAAGGTTGTCTAGGCAACTTCTGGTATCAGCTTGAAAAATGCAGCTTAAAGATCTGCTAAAAGAACATCTAGAAGGTAATTTTATGAAGAAGAAGAAGAAAAAAAAGAACATCTAGAAGGTAATTTTATGAAGAAGAAGAAGAAAAAAAAGAACATCTAGAAGGTAATTTTATGAAGAAGAAGAAGAAAAAAAAGAACATCTAGAAGGTAATTTTATGAAGAAGAAGAAGAAAAAAAAGAACATCTAGAAGGTAATTTTATGAAGAAGAAGAAGAAAAAAAAGAACATCTAGAAGGTAATTTTATGAAGAAGAAGAAGAAAAAAAAGAACATCTAGAAGGTAATTTTATGAAGAAGAAGAAGAAAAAAAAGAACATCTAGAAGGTAATTTTATGAAGAAGAAGAAGAAAAAAAAGAGTTAGATTAAACTCATAGCTCAGAAAGTGATGTTACTAATATTTCTTTAAGCATTCTTTGAATGCAATGACTCAATAGTCATTTAGATCATGTGTAGCATGATCTAAATGACAATTCTAATGAAGAAGGACAAAATAAATTATTTTAAGAATATACAAACAAAGCTTTCAGTTACATGAGAAAGATTAGCTGTACTAATGAACATGAGTGGGAAAACTGAGTAACTAAACATTCCTCATATTAAGTCAGGTGCTGGAGAAAAGCAATTCAAATCAGTTTAAAAACTAATAGATTCTAACCTTAGTCATCATTTCATTCTTTTGGCATTAGTCATCATTTACAATGTACCTCCTTTGATACTACTGAAGCACCAAGGCTTTAGTACCTACTTTGCAACTTTTAAGCACCAAGGAGTTGTAACAAGATTGACATATAAGTCTGGGTGGCGATTACTTCTTCTTGCCTATAGACACCATATTTTAAAAAGACATATTACTCACTTTATCAAGATATACCTAGATAGAAAAAAACTTCTCCGGACACTCAACACTTTAAAAGCCTGAAACAATCTTACTTAAATTAAAAAGGTTTTAAACTTTAACAAGAACATAAGTAAATAAAATATTTTTAGGGCTACATTCTACAAAGATATAATAGATAATACAATCTACAAAAAGTTTAACAACTACATTGTTAATAGTAGGTTGTTTTCGAATGGTAAAATGGTAAAAAAAGTATTACTAGCAGTTAGCTAGACTATTTTTGATGATAATTTTATGCTTGTCAGCGTTTGAGATGCTGACATTTGGGTAGCTGACTACATGTAATCATTATTAAAATTTTAAACTTTCATGGAGTAGCTGCCTTGAAGAACAAATAAAATCTACAAATAAAACTTTCTAAAGAATTCTTTTTATATAGTGTCAACATATTCCACAAAAGTGTAAAATTCAGAAAAAAGTACCAATCAGTAACCCAGCAGGGTGACCAGAAAATTATTACTTATAAAAGAGTGTTTAATAATAAAACTATATTTTGAATTATATTTTTAATCCACTTTGATTAAATTAGACATGCAGACACAAAAATTAAACTACAATTGTTTGCAAAACAGTTTAAGAATTAACAATGATAACAAAATTGTTTGTAAATCTTTTGTTAGCAGATAGTCCTTAATCATTCTTTAATCAACTTTCTGAATAATTTTTCAATCAATGCATATGGTAGCCATATCTGAACATCCTTTTCTCAGCAAATTTTTGATGATACCACAGAAGAGTTAAAAAAATATCAGCGGATACATTTTTTTGACTTCCACTTTTTTTGATTTAATGGGTAATTTCTATTAAGTATATGAGTAAGAATTTCTTGTTATAAAAATGTTATTTAAAAAATATTTTATATTAAAAAAAAATCTAGGTAAAGAATTTAAGTTATATATATAATATAAAAAAAAAAATGTAATTTTTAGTGTACCTTTGTGGATAATTGTGTCTTTAACAGATTTATGGACTCATCCAATTCCTAAAAAAAAAATAAAAAAGCAACCTGTTTCAAAATCAACAATTAGGTTTTGTGTTTACTTTGTTATTAAATGATATTTATTTATATTATACTATATTAACTATGATGTCCTTTATATCTAAAGACAACGTGGCAAAATAACAAAACAAAAAACAAAACAAAAAAAACATCAACCCACTGTTGAATAATTTTGGAAAAAGAAAAAAATTGAAACATAAAATACTTTTTTTGATTTCTCATGTGCTTCGACTTTATTTTTGAACTCAGCATTCTAAGAAAACAAAAGCAACATAATTAACATAGAAAAAAAAAATAATAAAATTAGAAAAGAAAAATGAAAACAAATAAAAAATAAATAATGTCTACCTTTCTTAAAAGATCAATGTGATCATTACGGAGTTTACCATATAGATCTTTAAGCTTATTGAACTTTTCATCAGCTGATTTAGCTTTCTCTAAACATACAATCATTTAATAATTGTATAACCTACATTTGTATAACCTACATTTTTATTTTATTTTATTTTAATTCACCTCCTCAAGGCGGAGAAGGCCACTACAGACGAGGAGGCTACTTATTTGCGGTTATAACCCTCTCTCAACTCTATAACTCCAAAACATGAACCTTGACGAACAAGGCCGCTGCGCGGAGAAATGAGTTGAGCCCGGTACTACCAGGGACGTGGTGGGGATCGAACTCGGAACCACTCGTTTATGAAGCGAGCGCTTTACCACTACACCACTACCACATATTTATATTATAAAAAAATTATTACTAAGCATATGTTTGACACTCTTAAAGCAAATAAATTAAGTTAACAAATTGAAACTCATATTATAGTAAATTTAAAATTAAAAAAAAAAAAAATTATATAACATGCTGTCTGGTTTTTTTAAAAGAATTTTTATGGTTTGAGGATAACTGAATATAATGAGGATAGCGGTGGTGGTGTAGTGGTAGAGCACTTGCTTCAGAAAAAAACTTGCTTTAAGCGAGAAATTTCAAGTTTAATCCCACCACATCCCTAATACTACCAGACTTTAAAATCCTAAAAATTTTAAGGTAAGAAACTTTCTTGCAACAAATTTGTTAATTATAAATTTTCAATCCCCACCACGTCCCTGATATTACCAGACCTAACTTGTTTCTCCATGCAATGAACTTGTTAATCGAAGTTCATGCTTTGGAGTTAAAAAGTTGAGAGAGGGTTGTCACCACAATTATGTAGCCTTCTTGTCTGTAGTGGGTTTCACAGACTTAGGAAGGTGACTTCCTGCCATCCTAGTTAAACAGGTTAACCCATTATTAGTTTGATCACTTAGAAGAGAGTATTCATAGAGTTATTGGCAGAATAAGGCCGGAATTATTGCATAGAGTGATCAGAAATTGGAGAGATTAGGTGCATCAGTGTCTATCAGCCCATATATAATATATATATATATATATAATATATATATATATATATATATATATATATATATATATATATATATATATATATATATATATATATATATATATATATATATATATATATATATATATATATATATATAATGGAATTGTATGCAACAAGCAGGAAGGTGTCTGAATATCTATTTAACAGATCTACAAGATATGGTATGATTGGTATGAGTAAAATCAGGTACAGAATTCTTGGACTATTGTTATTTATGATTATATATATTTTTATGATGGATATCTGATGATATGATTGCATATTGTTTGATGAAAGATTTTTTTGGGATGAAAGTTGGAAAATTTAGAAAACGTCACATTATTTTGAAAATTATGAAGTATTAGTTAATTTTTTGAAGTCAAAAAACAAGAGCATCAAGAAAATTAGGGAAAACCTCTCATTCTCTCAATTTGAAGTATAACAAAGTTAAAATAAATGACACAAAGTTATTTTTATGTTTGTTGTATATTAGACTTTTAATCTTTATTATTAAAGAAACATTTTGATAACATAAGAAAAAATACTTCTAGTCATTTGGAATGTTTATCTATTTTTTATTTCAAGGTAAGAAACTTTCCTGCAGCAAATGTGGCATTTATTATTTATCAACAAATGATATTACCAATTTTAACATACAGCAGTATAAAATTGCATTTGACACAAATTAGCTCAGAATATTGAGCAAAAAAAACTATTGGGGTACAATCCATTTCATCCACAATGAATAAAATTTTAAAAACTAATTTTCTAATCTAATAAATTCCATAAACTATTTTATTAAACAATATCATAAATTATGAGATACATCAATCTCCAATCTTCCGAAAGACAATTTCGATTTAAGATTTAAATAAAATTTTAATAACAATGAGAAATTCTATAAAAAAATTTAGATTCAAGAAACATTTTTTATAAGATGTAGATGTTAAATGTAAATTATTTTTTGCTTTTAATTTTTTCCCTACCTTCAGGATGCATGGTGATAGCAATTTTGGACTGAAGTACATACATATTTATATTTTCTGTATAAATATTTAATAATAATAATAAAAATACAAATAGTATTATAAAAAAAAATCATTTAAAACTTAAACTAGACTAAAACTCTTTTGTCAATTTTGAGTTGAAAGAAAGGACAAATAAGTCTCACAACAAATTTTACTAAGTTAAAATGTAAAAATGCAATTAAAACTCATCAAAACAACATAAATAAGTATTTACTATATTTAAAAAAAAAAAAAAAATCACAAAATGCACAAGCATATGAAAGCTTAATGATTAACTTTTAAGTAAAGCAAAAAAATTTAATATTTCTGTTTGTTTCACAAGACATATTGTAAATTAAAATGTGTTGTTTCGAGCGATGACTTTAGTAACTTTTTTTTCTTCATGTAGATTCTAAAAGGTATGACTTTCAAATATATTCAGTAAATACCAGAAATTTACTTTGTGTAATTTACTGACATTTACTAAATGTATATGTATATATATATATATATATATATATATATATATATATATATATATATATATATATATATATATATATATATATATATATATATATATATATATATATATATATATATATATATATATATAAGAATACTAAAAAAAGCTAAAAACAAACCGAAATGCTCAACTAATGTTCAATAGATGAATATTATTTTTTTTTTCTTCCTGTAAAATGTTTATAATACTAGGGAATCATTTTAAAATCATTTATGGCAAATAACAATACTTAAACACCAAAAACTCTTTAAAAACCTGATGTGGTCATTTACTGTTTTTTTAAATATTGGATGATTTTTAAACTTAATAAAAATATAGTTGGTTATTGTCTTTTAAATTAATTTCTATTATAAAGAATGGAGCAAATTGTAGCAACAGATTTATTCAAACACAAAACTAAGAAAACTGGACAAAAAAAGTTTATTTCCAGTTTCAAGCAAATCTTTACAGCTCTGTTTAATTTTTTAAACAGAAAGATTGTAGAGGAAATTGAAGATATTGTAAAATTACAAATTAGTAAAATATTAAAAGGACCATTTATTTAAGAAACAAGTATAAAATTCTGTATCAGCCTCTGGTCACACAATCTAAGACAATTATTTTATCTACCCAATTGCAACTCATGTTCCAAAGAAATTTAAAAATGAATATTATGATAAAAAAAAATAGTGTAACTAAATTTACCTTGTAATTCGCTATCTCCTTTGTTATTATTATCTAGTTGATCTTTCAGAAAAGAATTTTCCTAAAGAATTTAAAAGTTTGTATATCAATAAGGGTTTAGCATAAAACGCCACAATACTATAATAGCTAACTGTGGCGCAATCTTCCTAATAACAATCACTACTATGAAATCTTGATTATTGCGGTAAAATAAAAATGATCAAAAATTTTACACCAACAATTTTAAATGGGTTACATAATACTTCACTTGATATCATGCTATTTAGCATAAAATCAAATACAAGTTAAAAGAGGTTGGAAAACAATATTTTACTTTTGAATATTTTTACTGAATAAAAATGAGCATGCCATTAAATGTGCAATATTCATGAAAATTATAACAGTAAAATTTTGGAATGCTCAACACCTATGGAGGAAGCTGTCTGAAGTAATACTTATTTTCTGCATCAGTACAGAAAATCAATCAGGGGTTTGAGGTTTCTGCATGCATATTCTATGCATAGAGGACATTTATCGCAGCAAAACTAATGCCCTTCATACTTTTCTATTTGGTCTCATAAACTGGTTGAACATAAATTTAGCATTTTTAAAAATAAAGTGTATAAAATATTTCAATAACTTAACTCATATCTAAACAAAATAAATCAATATCTAAATTTAAAATTAAAGTGTACAAAATATATCAATACCTATGTATATTAGTGTACAAAATATATCAATACCTATGTATATTAATCCTGGTCATTAAAAATGATCTTGTTATGGAGCAGGCGTAGCTTTGTAGCCATGCTAAAGGTAACTTACCAAGGAAAAAGAAAACTGTGATATTAAAACCTTACTTAATTGTAGATATAGGTAGAACAAACTCATAACCCTTAGATAGTATTTCTCCATGTATTAGTCCAATTATAAAATTTCTCAGTTCGACAAAACAGTTAAACACTAGCATATTGTTGTAAAATATTACCTTAGAGTTTTCATGTCATACTTAATTAAGAAAATGACATTATGGAAACCTGCTTAAACCATACAAGTGTGGAACTATAAGTGTATATAAACAACAAGTGTGGGCATAACAAAAATATATATTTATAAACCCAAATACAGCTGCAAACTAACTTTAAATGAAGATGTCTTACTATACATGTATATTAGGGTGTCCTAAAAAAAAAATTTTTTTTGCACGCATGTTTTTCCCATTCCTTTTTGTCTACTGAGTTCATATGTATGACTAAAATTATTTTTTTAGGTCAATTTCAGCTATATATAAAATCTCAATTTCTTCATTTTTGATAAAATTTGACATTTTATAACGCTATTTTAGATACGAACCTAGTAATTTTACATTATTAATGCCCCTTGCCCTAGAGGATTTGGAAAACTAATGATTTTAGACTATATAAGAATCCATCTGACATTTTTTGTACAGAAGGTTCATTGAAGCCTGATTTACAAAAGGGTTGTTAATAATGACTACTTGAACAACATTTGTGTTTTCTGTATACTGTTTTGTTTTAACTGGTTTTTGTTTATTATTTTGATTTTAACAGCTTAAAGTAATAACTAGAAACTGTTATTTTACTGGAATAAAAACTAATTTTTTCATATATAATTATGTAATAGTTATGAATATCTTCAATATACATATATTTACTTGAAAATTATCATAAAATGTAATTTTTTCAAGGGGATATTAAAATTAAATTTGTTTAAAATTTGTTTTAGCATTAACTAATAATAAAATTAATAACTTAAATGGGTTGTATTAAAAAAAAAAAAAAAAAGGCGAGAAGAGAAAGAACAGCGTGTCAACAAACCCAAGGAGGCTGCTTTTTCTCCTAAAGTACACTATCAATGAGCTTCCAATAAACCAGATGGCAACCATCGGAAATATTCTTAGATACATCCAGTTTCTAAAATCTCCCAGGTAAAACAAATAATAATTATTGTTATATAAATATACTATAAAACAATGATAAAAAAATGGTCTATTTTATGCAATACATAATTAGTCTAGTATCACCCCCTCCCCTAAATGTTTTTAAAAATGAGACACAATTACGTGACAACCAAAAATATCATACCAATTAATACTTGTCTACTTTTATTTTAGATCTATAAGATTTTAATCTACTAAATTAATAGTAGCCTGCCCTCAGAAGCATGAGGACAGGGACCTGATCTGCAAAGATAGTTTCTGCAAGAATTCTGAACAAAGATGTGTTGCCTCTGCTGTAATAGACGTTTGGAAGAAAGCAGGGTTTCAAGATTTTATCATCAGTGGATCCAGTGTCAGGGATAAGATACTGAAGCTCCATAATAAGTACACAAATCTGCATCATCTCAAATCATTAAACTGGAACTCAAGCGATAGCAACTTCTCTAAGATACAGAATGAGTTTTTAGAGGAGAGTAATACACTCTTTGATATTTCATTGGCAAATTTTGAACAAAAAGTCAATCAGGATCGTTTTCGCTCTGAGAATGCCAAATATGAGGATATTCAGTTCTATCTAGATCAAAAAGGAGAGCGAAACATGTATATTACAGAAGAACTTGATGAAGTATTTCAAAATTCAGTTAAAAATAAAAATATTAGGCTCAAGAGGATGAAGGAGGCAATGAAAAAAGGTAGAATCACAATGAATGCAGTAAAATCCAATGAAGCTGAAGTTTCTTTGCATTCATCTGAAAATGATTCTGAATCGGAACTAAGTTTAGATTCTTCAGATAATGAAGATTTACCTAATAGATTCAGTCATTCTACTAAATCTAAGATAATGATAAGTATAAGTGCTGAAGAACTGATTGACTGTACTTTTGCAGTTTCTGCCTGATACAGAGTAGGTATACGACCACAAACTTCATTAGTAGCTGCTATTTGCAATAAAGCTGGTGTAAATCTAGAAGATATTATTCTATCAAGAAGTACAGTCCATAGAAAAAGATTCCAAAAAATAGATGCAGTAGGAGATAAACTCAGGCAAGAAATTATAACTACTCTGAAGGGAAAAAAGCTATGTGTTCATTTTGATGGAACGAAGGTGAAACAGATTGATGAAGATCTGAAAATAACTGTTGCTGTAGAAAGAATAGCGGTGAGTGTTACATCCCCTGATATGGATGACACAGATGACGTACTGCTAGGTGTTGTTCATACAGCAAGTTCCAAAGGTAGTGACCAGGCTGAAGCAATTTTGAATCTGCTAGAATACTTCAACATTGTTGATCAAATATTTGCTGTTTGCTGTGACACTACGGCATCTAATACTGGAATACACTCTGGAGCTGTTGTTATCCTTAGCTCCATCCTTAACATTCCGCTTATATGGTTTCTCTGTAGAAGACATATGCTAGAAATACACATCTCACACTTTATGGAGGCTTTGACTGGAGAGAAGACCAAGGGCCCAAGAAAAGGGCTGTATGTCAAACTCCAGAAAAATTGGCATTCAGTCAAGAAAGAGATGGACAAGATGCTAGACCTAGTTAGGTTTGATTGGAGTCAGCTTCAGGCTGGGTCACCCCTTATAAATTATAAAATTTGTGTAAGTATTATAAGTAACATATAAATAAAAAATATGATAAATAAACATTAATGGTAACAAAATCCTAATCTTTAGGTTTATGGCTGATGCTTTATACATTCTTACCTTGAGAATAACAGAAAAGATAGCCATGATTATGAGTGAAAAGGAAAAAAATACGATAGAGACAGGGGCATTCTTCACATCTGTCTGGTATGCACCTTGGTTTCTAAAGTCATATTTGGTTGCAAAATCACCCTCAAATGATCTTGCCGCTTTCAAGAATGCATTTAGCATCAAAGATAAATATCTTAACCTTGGTTCAGCATTGGTTGCTAGTATGCAAAGACACAACTGGTACTTGACTGAGCAGTTGGTGCTGCTGTCTCTGGCTGACGAAGATGTAGAGCATGAAGTGAAGTTTCCTCTAAATGGTAAAAGTGTTGTAAGAAACTTAAAATCGCGTGTCTGTATAAGTTTAATAGTAGAAAAAGTTTAAAACCACAGTGTTTTTAACATACTTATTTTTAAAATTCGCTATCTGCGTGTACGGTTAAGTGGTTGTGCGTGTGCATGCATGCGTGTGTGTGTAAAATTTACTATCAAAAGTTGGGCTGATTAGTATGACGATGATTAGTAAGATGTTCAAAAGGCAGATTAGTTCAGTATGACGTTCCTGACAAGTTCAATATTGGAAAACTTAAGCTACCAATCATATCAGAGTCCACTGAGCTTTGGGAATTGGTAGGTCAGAAAAGTTTGCTTCTGTTAAAAATTGCTGAAGTCCCTGATGGTGAAGTAGAACTGTGGAGGAAAGAAAAAGCCTTGAAGTCATTAGATTTATTCAAAAAATTAGTTAAAAATTTGACTTGGGTTAACGATTGTGTAGAAAGAAACATACGCCTTATTCAGGACTTTGTAGGTGGATACAAATCTGACAATATGCAACAAAATTTAATGCTGGTGGCAAGGGACAATAGAAAGAAGCTTAAAAAGGCTCTTTCCAAATCCCAGTTAAAAAATATATAGTTTATTATTCCTGAAATACATATTCTTTTATACATTTTTGTATTTTTATTAAGAAAATGTGTAAAATTTAGGTTTTTAACAAAAAATGGAATTTTACATATAGCTAAAATTGATTTCTGAAAATGTTTTTTTATATATATTTACTATCAGGGGACATAAGAGAATGGAAATATAGAAATATAATTAAATAGATAAAATAATTAATGGGCACTTATTCATAATCCCAAAAACTACTATCAAAAAGAGCATTAAATTATCAATAAAAACAAATAAAACTACTTTAAATGTTTTTTAAAATCAGATATAACAAAATAATTGTTTTAAATATAATTATTTGTTATATAAACTAAAGTTCTTAGTTATGTTTAGACAGTGCTTTGAAACATTTATTTTTTTCATATTTATTAAATTTAATAAAGTGTTACCGAGCATTTACTGTTTAGTCATATTACTCATTAATAATTTTAAACTATTATTTTTAAAATTAATTAGTTAATTATAACAGTTTTAACTAGTTTTAAAAACTTAAAATTTATTATTAGAATTTTGCTTTAAACTTTAAAATTGCTAAAGAAGATTAGGCTTTGTTGTCTGAAAGCGCGTTTATATAGATGAAGAACAGAAGTGAACCTTAAACTAAACCTTGTGGAACTTCGCTTGTGACGTTTTTGCTTGCTGACTATTGCTGATTACCACACTCTGTTTTTGGTTTTTTATCCAGTCATTAATCCACTTGAGGAGTGCACCACGTATATCTTAAGCTTTAGAAAAAGACTTTATGGTGGTAATTTTTCAAGTAATTTTTAAAGCTTAAGCAAAGGTGGTGTTTTATGTAAGAGGTTATCTTGCATTTCCCAAAGAATTGAAATCAGAAAAATAAACTTAAAAAAGAAAAACCAGATTAAAATCAAAAAAACAAACTTTTCGAGTCCATTTTCTATGAGCTTGTCAACAATTCAAAATTTGAAAATAAGAATTTCCCACCTTCTCTTTTTATTTTCATACCTCCCTATTACTCATTTCTTGTTTATGTATTGTAATAACAAGATTTGTTACAGAAGATACTGTTTTATAGAATATTGATTTCAATCTAAAAAGTACTTTTAATTTTTTTTAATTGATAATTTACCTCACTTTTTAAGACTATTTTTTGGAATTAAGTACCCATTAATTATTTTATTAATTTGTTATTATTTGGTTTCTATTAACAAACACTATTAGATTGATGTGTATAAGAAAATTAAAGGGAAAAAATGCTTAGGTAACAGATGGTTTGTGTCAGGGATTAATTTTTAAAAATCTTGGTTTCTCTTACTTTGAAGACATAACTTTTGAATATATCTCTTTAATCAATTAAATTTTTCTAAAATGTTTAACCAGTGATCATTTGATTTGTATTTTAGAGCTAATTTTTAAGGTAAAGCTCTTTAAAATTACAAAAAATTTCAACTCAATAGCAAAATTATCAACTTTAGTCCACCATTATGTCTAAAAGTATCCATAACAAAGTAGCTATCTAATAAAAATTGTAGAACAAAATTTTTGAAATTATTAGCTGTTAAAAACTATAAAAAAAACTTTTTTGCTAGAAATGAGAAACTTTATGCAAAATAATAATCTAAATAATCAATGTTTACTCAAGAACCAATTTAGATATTGATCTGAAATTATTAGGATATGATTTTTTTTAAAGGGATCCCTAAGTGCTCCTAACATATGATCTCATATGAAAGAGCATAAAAAAAAATATGTAAGTTTTTTTTCTTTTTCACTAAATAATAAATGCATGCTAACAAAAAACAAATGCTGAAATCACTAAAAAACAACTCCATTTTGATTTTATTTTTTCACCATTAAAACTCGATTGTTAGTCGTTAAAAATCACGTTAGTACATCACAACAACTATAGAATATATACTTCGATTTTCAAGTAAAAAAAAGTCGTGATTAAAGAGTTAAGTTTTAATCAAGTTTTTTTAATTAGTTTTGCAAAATCATTAAAAAAAAGTTAATAAGTAATAGTTTTAAATAGTTTAGAACTTATAAAAAAGTCTTACAGGGCTCGTATTAAGCGTATCGCGATCGCGATTGCTACACACACTTTTGTGATTAGTTTTTTCTTAAAAGAACATCTTTTCGCAACTGTTTTTTTTTTTGGTTGATTAATTACTTTTTTTCTAGCTTAGCATTTTTTTTTAGCAATTCTTAAAAGTAATGTTTTTATCATAAAGAACGTCACACAAAATTTATTATTCTGAATAGATAGATGAATTGATGCTCTTTCGCGCGGAGATTTTCTTTCAACGTAAAACATTTTTGAATTTAAATTACTTTAAATCTCTGCGTGGAAAATTTTTACAAGGTCGTTAAAGCGAAAAGTTGAAAAGTTGGTTTTTATCTTTGTTTATCAAAACTTCATGTTTAAAATAAGGCTTAAAAACGTTAGAGCAAAAAAATTACTGACTTTTATTTGCATTTTTATACTGTTTGAAAAAAAAAACTAATAAAAAAGAATTAATAAATAATTATTAATTAATATATTATTAGTTAATTCTTTTTTATTAGTTTTTTTTTTCAAACAGTATAAAAATGCTAATAAAAACCAGCAATTTTTTTTACTTTAACGTTTTTAAGCCTTATTTTAAACATTAAGTATAATTCGATTTATTAAACCAAATTTTTTTGTTTTATCTTTTATTGGAAAACTTGAAATAGAAAAATTGAATAAAAACATCAACCATTTAAATGAAAAACTTAATTATATTTAAACTTTTATTAGTCCTTAATTCAAGAAACAATAAATTATAAAAAAGGTGTATCTAATTTTTTATTAAATTTTTGACGATGTTTTTTGATTTATTGATGATAAATTTTTTCCCCTCATTACTGCACATTGGCGCGAGCTATAAGAGAGAGGGGGGGGGGGGGGAAAAAAGCAAAAAAAAAAAAAAATTTTTTCGCGATTAAATTTTTTTGCGTTAACTCGAGCCCTGTCTTAGTTTAATTTCTAATAAAATGTCTATTCAACTTTATCAATTTGAACCAAAAAAATATAGAAATTTAACATAAATGTTAATTTAACTAAAACATTTTACAATCATTATTTTTTATATCAAGCAAAAAATAACACAAATATATAAATTATTAAAAAAAATATAATATACAAATATATTTTCACAAAATGCTACAAAACTTATTCTTGTAAGTAATTATGTGTTAGTTGAAAAAAAACGACTTTACTTTTAAATTTAATTACCAACTAATAAGTTTGCAATAATGACATTTTGTCTACTTTGTTTAATTTGACGTACTTACGTTAGTTTTTTGAGGCAATAGAGTCAATAAACTTAGGACAAGACGCATTTTTTTAATCGAAGAAAGAAGTTTTTTTGAAAATTAAATTTGTTAGTGTGTGTTCATTATTACGTTTTAGAAAAAATAATATACATCAAACATTTTTTTTTTAATGCTCTTTCATATGAGATCATATCTTTATAGCACTTAGGGATCCCTTTAACATCTATGCAAAATCATATAGTTTCAGCAAAATCTGAGATGGTCCATGAAAGACAACTGCTCTAATTGACATGGAATAACTTAATTAACCTTATTAGAAAAAATAATAAAAATAACTTAATTATTCTTATTAGAAACAATAATAAAAATAACTTAATTATTCTTATTAGAAACAATAATAAAAATAACTTAATTAACCTTATTAGAAATAATAATAAAAATAACTTGAGCATATAGATATACAACATACATAAAAAACTAAACATCTAAATATTAGAATTTGCAAGTAATAAAACGTAATGATTTTCAGGTTCATTTTAAGGTAGTAGCTAAGCACAGCCTTAGGTGTAGGTGTTAGATTTCCTGATACTTGGCTTTGGAACCGGAGGCATATTTTGAAACCCTATACAGGCTTAGAATAGGCAGAGATAAGAGCAATCTGATTCGCTGAATTTGAAAAAGAGGCTTTTGCGCCTATGAATAAATCAAAACAAATGTCAAAAAACGTATTGAATAATAAAAGTAAATATTTGAAGTAAGTGAATATAATTATATATATTTATTTACTTATTTATCCCTACAGTGGCTGTTAATAAATAAAGTAAAATAAAACTATATACAACTAAAAATTAAGTCTTGAACTTCGTCTGAAGTACTTTTGTCTAAAAAAATTATACCTCTGTTATCTGTTTAGCAAGCATTTGAATTTTTCTGAGTTCTTCTTGAAGCTTAAAGAAAAGATAACAATTGATTAGAATTAATTATAATAAAAGCATTTGTATGTATCATTATAATTGTATAATTACATAGCAATTACATAATTATTAAATATAAACATAACTATATTTTTACTTGTAAAAAGGGATAAAATTAAAAGTAAAACAAAAACCAAATAAAATAAAAAGAATTAAGAAAAATTTTACTTTATGAATTTGCATCCGCAAGTTGTTTTCCATATCATTAAACTAAAACACAAACATTTTTAAAATTTAAATTTTCTCCTAAAACAAATTTCTTAAAAGAATGCAGACAAACAAAACAAATAACAACATAAAACTACACCAACCAACTTTAGTCATCCTCCAATAATCTTTTTGTTTTATTTTTGCATCCTAATAACTTTTTTATCCTACTCTGGAGCAGCACAAATTTTAAAAATTTGTTTCAAACTTTTATTTTAACTAAAGTTATTTTTAAAATATAGCATTAGTATATAGCCTAACACTTTTCTTTTTTAATGGAAAACAAAATATGGTAACTAAGATAACCAAAATAAACTAACATTTTTAATATTTTTTTTAAATAAATAATATAAAATAGTAATAACAAACTAATAAAATAAAAAACCTGCGTCTCTGCAAGTTCTAATTGTTTTCGCAACTCATCAATTTCTTTCATCAACTGATCAATCAAAAGATCCCTAAAAAAATTGTCAAAATTAGTTGTTTTAAAGAATATATTTTTGAATAAATACAAAAAAAAAAAAATATTTTTAACAAACTTTAAATTATTAAACTATGAAAATTGTAAAAATATTAAAATTTTAATATTAAATATTAAGTAGGTTTTGAAATATAAATAATAATTTTTAAATAAGGCGTTTTATCTTTTTTTTTTCTTTCCCACTTTGAATAAAAAATAAAATTTATAACTTTGTCAAAACCATTATTTTTTTAAGTTGATTATTAATAAAAACATACAATATATACTTTTATTATACAAAAATTTTTTATTAATATGTATGTATATATATAAGTATAATTTATATATCAAGGACTACTGTATGACAGGACATGGAAAGTCGATTTTCTAACTTCCCTAGCGAAGACCATTAAATACTTCTTATTGAACGTTTTTCAAATTAAATTTAACCAAAAAATGTTTTGTAAAACCGATATTATTAAAATAATATTGAACAAGTATTCTCTAGAAAATTTTATAATTTAAATAATTTTTTAAATACATTTAAACCGGGCCAAAACCAAGACCTGGTTTGTGACCGGTGCTACATTTTATTCAAAATTCATGTTATATTTTGTATATATATGCATGTATAAATACCATTATGATCTTCAGGATCATCATAATCATCATTACCATTATCATCATCATCATCATCATCATCATCATCATCATCATCATTATCATCATCATCATCATCATCATCATCATCATCATCATCATCATCATCTGATCATCTTCTTTTTTGGCAAATACTACACCATATAAATACTAAAGTTTATATAAATATGAAAGGATGATAGCATCTAAATAAAAACCAAAATCATATGTATTTATTTGAGACAGAATGTTTATAAGTCTTTTTTTACAATGTGTTTCGTTTTTTTCGCAAAGCATAACCCAATTCTAACTAGCTGATAAATACACTCATAAGGAACTGTCAAGTATCCTCGTTAAACCTCTTCAATACATTCATCCTCAGCATAAATTAGTTCACCCTCACATTTTTTCTCCAGCCACCCTGCCACATAGACAGCAGAACTCTCTTCAGTTTCTGAAAGACTCACATCATTAATGCAAGTTTCAATTGAGGTCGCATCTTCAAAACTAATTTGACCTTCACATGTGTGATCTTTTTATTGGGTTGTCCTACTTCCACTGATTCTAGAAACTTTGCAGCAAATCAAATTTAACGCTTTTTATAATTATAAAGCAGAAAAAACATCCCCAGCTGCCATAAAAGTATTTGCCCCTGTTGATTGTCTATAATCAGAAAATTCTCCTTCAATTCTGTCACTTTGTAGCTCACGAAGCAAGATGTAATCAAAACCAACGGTTGTGGTCTCTTAGTCTAATATTCTGCCTTTTTGCAGAAAAATTAACAATATTCTACCAATCTAAAACCTGCTGAATAAAAGAGAATGTTTTATGAGCTTCTTTTTGTTTCAAAGCAGCTACTACTTTCTCATTAAATATTCTTAAAATATGTTGCAAATTCTGTAGTTGAAGTCTAGAAGGATAAACAGCATCATGGGATATAGGAACTGATTTCAAAAAATTATCTTTTTCATATTGATATAGGATTTTGACATAAGAAAAGGAATCAATCGAGACTTTTGACACTTTTTAGAAATCCAGTTGTTATGTAAACATTTAAGAAGATGAACTGTATCAAACAATATAAACCAAACACACTGATCGTCTAATGGATGAATGGCCTGATAGTCAGTAATTTGAAAATTTTGAAGTATTGCTGATTGATTTTATAATTATTTGTTACAGATCCTAAAATAATGGCACCATTTTTTTAACTATAACAGCAGCTTCTTTCACAACACTGAATTGATACATTGATGTGAACAAGTGTAACAAAAACCATTAAACTAGGTCAAATATGTAAGCATTTCATCATTATAAATAGCATAGAAGTTGCTAAAAACCCTGGGTCATTTTTTTCCATCCCATATAAAACTCCATCTGAATAAGTAACTGTTGGTCTGATTTTTTATCTATCAAAAAAGCATTTTTCTGACTATCATTCTTTACTTTTTAAAATGTTTTTTTCTAATACAAGATCGATGTTTGTGGCAGAGATTATAGACTGCAGCTTTTGTTTATTTGGAAGCACTAAAAAATCATTAAGTTGATTGTAGTTGAAGTTATAAAAAGAAACAATAACAAAGCAATAATTAGCTATAAATAAACTTTTGTTACACAATAGTTTAAATTGTCTTGTAATAAAATTTTTTTTGCTTGATAGCATCATTGATTTTAAATTCATATTCTGAAAAAATAATTGTCACCTTTTCAATATCAATAACATACAGATTATAACTATAAACTAAAATAATAACTTCAAAAAACTGTGAATAGAAGACTAAGCCATTGCTGGGATTCAAGATATTTCTTAATGGAATGCTAACACCTTGTTTAAAAGCAGAAAAGGTTAGTGGTGAACAAAATGTACACTTATTGTAAACTATTATTGTCATGAAGCGCTCTTGAAAATCCTTTGACATAAAAATACATTTGAATTTATCTTTTTGCTGAAATATTATATATTTCAATATTTTCATACTGTTTGTGTAATTCTTTGTCAGGATAGAATTCAGGAAATGAATTTATTTTCTTTAAGGAAGACTTTTTTAAGAAAATATTAGGGTGGAGTGAAACAACATTTTTTAGAAATACAACTTTTCTCCCTGATTTCTTTATTAGCTATAAGAAAACTAAAAAAATGAGACAAAATGAGCAAAATTGGACAAGAATTACCCTCTGCAGTAATTTTTGACTAGCACTACATATTATTGGCAACGCAAATTTTATAAATTTTATAATAGAACCTGAATAGTTTCTAGGACCAGATGTTGGTCCATCCAGTTCTGAAAATAAATGACGTAGTGGAAGCTCATTTGTATGTAACAATTACCCATTGTAGAGGCTGTTGAAGTTCTAACTCAATCAATCTTATCACAGCACTCTTGTTTCCAGTGTTTACATTTGTTCCATCACAGTCAAGCACTTGTAAATCATCCAAAATGATATTGTGTTTTTTAGAGAACTTTAGAATTTGAGATTTTAAAGCTTCAGCTGCTCCGTTAGGAGGAGTGCAGTGTCCCAAATAGCACCTTCCAAGTTCCTATATTAAGGATATGTACTCTTCTATCACTCTGGTTTTGTTCTTATTAAAAAATTTAAGGGTCTGATCTTTTTTGCCATCAGAGTACAATGCTTTTACTTTGACTTCACTAACTTTCAAGAGATAGCTTTCATGCGCTCACGTCTTATCTTGTTCCGGTCAATAACTTGCTTTGCTTTGGCTATTTTGCAGTTTTACTGTAACTGCTTTTGTCAATTGATCCAATACTCATTTTACCTTCAATCCTTTAATCTTTCAGAAAAGTGAGATCGATAGCTAGTACGATATTAACTTTGGGACAACAGCATTTTTTTTAGATTTTTGCATTGGCAAGCAGATATATCAAAAAAAAAAACTAGTTTGTTTTTATAGAAATTTTTATTTTCTCTGTCAGCAATTGGAATTTTTTACGACTTTTTGCTCTCCTCAAATAGTTTATAAACTCTCTTTGTCAATGATGTAAATGATGACACAGTAGGTACGTTGCACTTTTCCTAAATTTTTAAGACCTGCATTGCTGTTGAAGCTGCTTCATTATTTTTTTTGGCTTTTCCAGGAAGTTTCTGTATAATTTTATTATATATTATTTGAATATTATTTGAAAAAAATGATATCTAGTATAGGTTGCTTACATTTTCTCGCAAATATATCATATGCCGCATCACATCTAGTCCTGGTAGTTGCACCGCAGAGAGCGGCTTTGAAAATCCAAAGAATGTATGATCTGTTTTAGATCGTAACATTCTATTTACTGAAATATATTAAGCAAAGTTTTAGTATATTATAGTTATACATTTTATTTACACATTTTAACGAATTTATTGTTCAATCATAAATAGTATTATTATTCACAAACATAATATTCTTACTAACATTTAAAAATATGGTATTGAAAGTTCGAGTAGAGCATGCATTTTATTAAATTTTATGCGCAATATTTAATTTTCTCAATTAAAATATCTTTTAAATGTGTTTTAAAAAATTTCAATAACCTTTCAATACAAAAGTGATTATTTTGGTTATAATACTACTGGATAATTCAAACATACCTAATATGTTCTCATTTTCAGGGTTCCTACAGGGTTATTGGTAAAAAAACAGGACATTTAAAAAAAAAAACAGGACTGTTGAGGCCTAAAAAACAGGATTTTTCTTAGAAAAACAGGCTATTTTGTGACAATTTAAAATATATTATTTAAAAAAATTATAAATGAACAAGTAAAAACGTTTTATAAACAGTAAAAACTGTGTATATATATATATATATATATATATATATATATATATATATATATATTATATATATATATATATATATATTAAATTTTAAAAAACAAAAAATAAATATAATTTAATAGAATATAAACACATCCCAAGATGCTTAAATGCTATTACCATTACTAGCATTATATGCTAGGAACCATTGTAAAAAAGTTTTGTCTAACCTTAAAGCCCGCCATTCTCAGAACATGAAACCTCGTATTTCATCTCAAAAATTAGGCTCTCGTGACTTCTGGAGAATCTTTAATAGTATCAATAATAAGGGCAAGTCTGTAATTCCACCTTTTTTGTATGGTTCAGATTTTGTCACCTCACCTAAAGACAAAGCTGAATTGTTTTCTAAGAACTTTTCATCAACATCATCTCTTGATTCCACTAGTTGCGTTCTACCTGATATAGCCGTCAAACAGGTTGATCCATTGCTCGACATCCGTATCACTCCAGCTTCTGTATCTAAAGTGATTTCCTGCTTAAACTCTTCTACAGTTTGCGGCCCGGACAACATATCTATTATAGTCTTGCAGAAGTGTTCTCCAGAG